TAGCCTCCTTGGGGAGATGTAGTAACAAATGAAAGAACATTAAAAATTCTCACTACACTGATCTTGTGAAATCTTTTGTAAAATCATTCTTCTCTTCCAACATAATTACAAGCAAATCTCTGAGCAGCAGCGTTCAGAGAACATCAGCACGGGCGTGCGTACACACAACCAGAATTCCCTGGGGAGGAGATCAAAGAAAGGACAATTGCTAACAAATTCAGTGTGCTGAATACGACTCATAATTACAGTATGTGAGCCACAGAAACTGTTAATGAGAAAAGGCACCTACGTATTTAATCCTTGAGAAATGAAGTCCAGCAGGGCTGGCAGCACCACGGTTCGCCTGCTCCAGGCAGCAGGTATCAGCTGGCCCGAGGGGACGCGCAGTGTTCCCCCGCAACGTCCCCCGGAACGTCCCCCGCAACGCCTGCACTGGTGCGGTGTGACCATGGGGTGGTGCTTCAGGACTGGGACACGGCGAACCTGCAGCGGACAGGGAACAGAATCAAATTGGCTCCTTACTGCTATAGGCTCTTAGGGGAACCCGGCGCCTTCCCCGCAGTGTTTCGCTCACACGGACACAACTACAGCTACTGAGAATAAAAGGAAAACCTGTGACTGCCTTACTGTGATGCTCTTGCATTAGAGGTGTGCAGTGACCTGTACTGAGCCAGGCTCCACTGGCAGGACAAGCCCAGCAGCCAGGCTCCACTGACAAGACTAGTCCAAGAGCCAGGCTCCACTGACAGGACTAGCCCAGCAGCCAGGCTACACTGACAGGACTAGCCCAGCACGTCTGCTGCCTAAACACACCTCATAGACTCTTGACAAGTTGAGAAAATTGTTCCCAAAAATAAAATCATATGGCTGAACGTACAGTTCAACTCCTACCTCAGAAGTGGTACAGGGAAGGACACCTGGAAAGCTCCACTTAATAGCTCAGAAACAAGTGTGATAGCTGAAGTTCATCAGAAACATTCCAAGGTGTTGAATTTGCAGCTTGTCAGCTGCACCAGAGTGCCTAGAGTGGCAGGGTAACTATCAGCTCCTCAATTCCAGAAGCCTCTGAATGCAGCTCTTTCTAATGCCCTTGTTGCCAGACATTTAAAATGTAACTGTATTCTCTGAGCAAAACCAGCTGTGCCTCTCGCCGACACAATTGGAGCCACAAATGCTCCCTGCTGAAGAGAAGCAAGAAGGAACAGCCACAAGTGCCCCGAGGATCTCTGCTTGTTGACAGCATCTGATCACTGTGAAGTGGTGCTTTGATCAGCTGGGAACAAAGGCTTTATGATGTGCTGCAAAAGCTGTATGAGCAATCCTTTAATTGATGAGGAATGCTGGACTGGCTGATAACACCAGCATATTTTTGCACCACCGTGACACTGAATTAATTCTAAGAGGGAAATTATTTGACTTTGAATTGTATCCTCAAACGCAGCATGCTAACCTCCGCTGAGGAAAGTGCCATTATCCAGCCATTCATTACAGATTATCACCTAAACCAGACCACACAGCTTAAAGTTGCCATTTATTTGAAGGGAACCAAGCTCTGAATGAGAAAAAGAACATTGTTGTCCCTTAACTAACCATGGATTTTGTTAGCTGAGAATCTAAGATACTTTTACTTCAGAGAATGAAACTTTCTTCCACTCTATACCTATGCAACAGCTCTACATGCTGCTACGGGGAGGATTTGGATACAAGAGTTTACTTGGAAGGGAAAGCAGACACAGGTACAAGGATAATCTTTTGGGCTTTTGTTTGTGCATCTCTTCACACAGCCACAGCACCACACCATGAGTAACAATGCACTCAGGTACCAAGTGTCTCTTCCAGCACAAGCTGTAATTCCAGAATAATCTTTCTCTGTCCCTCTTCCTGGAGAGTTGGGAGCAGCTGCTGTTCTCTGACATAACCCTGTCCATCAGCACAGTGACCCAGCACCTCTGGGTCTTCCCTGAATTCACTCTCCTGGGTTTTCAGACACAGCTGACAAATACACAGAGTAAACCAGTCAATAAATACCTAGAAAGGCCTATTCTATTAGAAGTGAGGACTCTCCTCATTTTTAAATCCTGTTTGGAATGCCTCTCTTGCTCCAAAGCAGTGGGGAAGGCCTGGCTCACTGACCTGGAGTTTCTGGCTGCCTCTGGATCTAGTCTAACAGCACATTGCTTTGCCCCAGCAGAAATCAGTCGAGCTGCAATGGGAATTCAATCTTTCTCTTTTATACTATACTTGTAGAGGATTATTAGCAAGCACTGTTGTGGGGTTGTATTTGTTTGTTTGTTTTTCTGAATTATTACCTCATTTTTCCCAGCTAAATGCACATTTCTGTAATTCCACTGATTGCGCCTCAAACGACAGAAGCATTTGATGCCTGTGTAAGAATAAATCATGTTTTCCAGCATGCTTTCCTCAGGTGCTGCTTAAAATATTGCCAGGGACAGAGCTCACTGCCTCTCCTCAGGCTTTAAGGTCCCACTACAACATTTCCTTCCACCTGCCACAAGCCCAGGTTAACACATACCCCAGAACCCACTCGATATGCAGCTTTAGCAGTACACTGCTCACTGCCATGTAAGCACAAAAAAATCAGCTTCTCTTAAAAACTGAAATTTCCCCATGCTGCTAATATCTGTTCCAGCTTTACAGGCCCTACAGGAGTAGCCTGGAGGCAATTATAGGAAGAGACAGGAATGAAGACATGCAATCTTGGGTGTGAAAAAAGACTCAGTGGGAAGTCCTACCCTAAGTATACAAGCCACAGCATAATGAGTATTATCTTTACACCCCTAACTCCCTACTGCAATCAGTAAGAAGTTAGAATCTCAAGTATTCTGCCAGTTCTGTATCAGAATCCTTTCTTATTACCTACAAAACCATTTTTTCCCTGGCATAGGATCTCCTGTGTAAAGAAGAGATCTTTCTTGTAAGAACTGCAGAGCTAGAAGGCAGCAACACCTTGGCTTCCATGCACAGTAATGATCCTGTCCTTACAGTACCTTTAAAAGAATGGGACTAGACTAAAGCTCAGCACAAAAACATGTAAGAGAAAATCAGGGAGGAAAGACCAGTGTGTGGTAACACACACACACGTATATACATGTAGAGACAGAAGACTGCTGCACACAGCCACCCACTGTCCTTCCCAGAGGGTGTCTGCTTTCTCTAGCAGTAAAACAGCAAAGGGACACACGATGAAATTAAAAGCCCAAACCCACAAACCTCATACAACACCAGGATTAAGAAATAACATATAATTAATTTGTGTGACGTGCTGTAAGATGAAACTTAAGGCAAACCCCTACAGGGTAGTGCCACAAACCCATCTTAAGCTAAGGCTCACCTGACCAGCACAGGCTCTGTCACACAGTCACACTGCTCTCTGGGAGCACACTTTAACAGTCACATACAGAGCTCCAGCTTCCACTGCAGCAGAGGGTGCTGGCCAGGAGCAGAGGCAGGAGGTCGGGCTGAAGGGATCCTTAGCCCAGCCTCAGCCTAGCAATGCATATTCCAGACCTGCTCTGAGCTGCCCACTGAGAGGCTCTGCAGGGCAGCCCAGCCCCAGGCCTCTGCACAGAGCTGGGATCCCTGCACGCTGCTAGAGCACACGTCAGAACAGTGCCCCATCAGTGCCCCCTAGCCCAGAAAACTGGCCTTCACCTTGTTTTGAAGGACTAGAGAAGAAGATAGAGACTAATAGCTCTTCATGCTTCATTACATCTGTCTCCTTTAAACTGAGTTTCCTGGTTCTGGTGTGGGATTTTCATACTACAGTTTGGAAAAATGTGAGTCATCACCACTAACCTCTCTTGACTTGTGCTCACACGAGTAGCCAAAAGTAGCTGACCTGACAGAAGATATTCTGCTAGTCCAAGGGAATTTGCAGCTTGAAGATTAAAAGGCTTAGACTGGACCTTACTTTTCCCCTGATATCTCCTGGATGTGGCCGCTGGGAGTTCCCTTTGTCAGGGCAGTATTTTTTTCCATAGCTCTGCAAGCAATAAAGTCATAAACTAGCCAGCACAAAAGGGATCAAATTATTTTTTAACAGCTGCCAGCAGAAATGCTGCCCCTTGACATCTCAGTCCAAGCTTTAGAGCTGTCCGGAGAGTGCTCAATTATGCTTAGGCCATATTTTTATTAGAATCACAGTGAGCTGTTTGCCTTAGGCTTAAACTCTGAGAAATGGCCCCTCAAAACTTGTAAGTCCAATGTCATTGGCTCGTTAGGTCTCCACTGAAAGGTGGGTCATAAGTTGTATCATCAAGCCATGACAAAATTTCAAGCTGCTTTGATCACAATTCACTGTGACCATGAAGCAGCTTCTGAAGAAGATTAAACACAGCAGCAGTAAGGCTGGTAACTGCCTGCACAGCTGCTCTACCCCCGGGTCAGTTCTCTGCAGCTTCCACCCTCTACAACACTAAGCACCTTCCCAGCAAGTTAAGGCAGTGCTGTTACCTCCCATTTTGCAGACAGATGTTGGTGTCAAGTGACTTGCCCAAGGTAAGACAGAAGTCTGCAAGTGCAGTGACCTCAAATGGGTCAAGTGTCTCACCCAAAAGATTCTCCAGCCCCTCCCCGTGCTCACTTGGAAAAGGGTTCCTCACCTGTGTACTCCAGGCACTAAAGAGTAGAGATGGGATGGGAGAAACAAGTCTCATAAATTACAATTAAAAGCAACTCCTGCTAAATTGCAGAAATAAGGAAATGCTGATTGACTAATGCTCCTTAATCCCTTGAGGTTTTTAAACAAAGCCTTGTTTTATCTTCAGCAGTTCACCTGCAGCTGCTGAGCTCTGACTTGTTAAGGTCTCACAAGAATCACCATGTTCCTTCCACGGAGCTGTGGAGCTGTAGTTGCTGACAAGACTGGAGCATGGCATCTCTCCAACAGGTTTTAAGAAGATGGTCCCTGCCCAAAGAGGGTACAGTCTAAAAGGACAAGCAGATATTCATGTGGAGCAGTGAGAGGCACTGTGAGGGACAAAGTCATTATCAATCAAGGCTGCAAGCAGCCATGCTGAAGAGCAGCATTGCTTGAGTTGCATCTGTTGTGGGGAGGGCATTGTTGCAAGATACCTAAGCTGTCCTGCTGACACTCCTGTTACTTTACCAGACTCCTGGAACTCTGAAGCTTTATTCACCAGAACACATTTCAGCCATAAGGCTGAGTTCCCAATGGTAGACATGGCCAGAGTCACAAAATTTGGATTAAATAAATAATAGATTCAAACCTTTCCAAAGAAGAAATGAGCTCTGAATAGAAACAATTCTAATCTACAAGTCTGGGTGCAGACAAGAGCACCTCTAAAATGAATATTAGGGAACAAATGTGTAGTTCTGGTCTTGTTGCAGTTTAAGAACTATGGAAGGTCAAGCAACAAGAAAGTCAAGAGTCTTCAGGTAGCTGTGATGCTCAGGGGCCTTTCACAACAGCTTCTCTCTTATCAGCTCCTGCCTTATCTACCTTCCTTTTCTTCCCTAGTGACACATGGGAAAAACAAGAAAATGAATGCTCCAGAGGCTGCCATCAGCTCTCAACTCGGAACAGCCTCTTTATTGTCTGCAGGAGGCACATCTGAAAGGCAAGGAACCCAGACACACAAGTCACAGAGCCAGAGAAGCCTGCAGCCCTTGGGCAGACTGCGCCAGGCCGGTCAGGAAGGAGGGCAAACCAGCTCTTCCCAGCACATCTCTCTCCATCTCTGCCTAAGCCAGGAGAAGCTTAATTATCTCACGCTGGAAAATAAAGGAGAAGAAAAGAGCCTGTCAATACCAGCCTGCTCCAAAGGAGCCCAGAAATCAAAGGGGCAGCTTTTGCTCTCCTCTCATGAAGGTGAGAGACTTTTGCTTTGCAGCCCAGTCAGGTGGCTGGAGCAGCTGCAGCACTTTCAGTCGAAAGGTCTCTGAGATGCAAACAGGTTCCAGCACATCAGCTGCACCACAGTAATTCCCAATGCACACATCTCCTCTTCTCAGGGGAGCCCAGCCCTTCCATAGCACTGATAAGTTACCTTTGCCAGTGGGATGCTGAAGGACAGGGGCACAAGTGTGCACATAAGAATCATCAACAGAAAGCTGCTGGTTCACAGCTACTCATTTTGCACCTTCACATTAAGACCAAGCACATGCTTATAACATAAGTAAACCCATCTAGTTCTGCTAAGAGATCACTGTAGGAAGGGGAGGTTGACTGAATAGGTCTGTTCCAATGCAATGGAGGTATGAGAAGTTTGAATATGCTGCCTAAGGAGCAACCAAACCCAACTGCTGGGGCACCATTTTGCCCCAACAAATGGTGAAGTGGATGTGGTAGGTAGGGAAGTGAGAGCTCACCTGTGCACGTCCTCTGGTTCTCATGCAGCGTGTAGCCAGCCCGACAGCTGCAGTAGTAGCCCCCCACGTAGTTGTGGCAGTGGTGGTTGCAGAGGGGTTCACCATCAAAGAGCTGTCTGCACTCATCAGTATCTGATGGGCAAAGCACAGGATTAGGGGACCAACACCCTTCTGCAAGACTGTGATTTATGAGGTTGGCTTGTTTGCCTTTGGTTGCTGTACCCTTCAGCACCTGCCTCTGAAACACGAGACCCACCTTCTCCCACCTCCCACCAGCAGCCACAGCCTGTAAGAGCACGGGAAGCACCACCCCCATAGCTGTGTCTCTTCCACCTCCAGGAGGAGCTGGTCTCTTACCTTCAGCAGCATAGAAGGCCTCAAAGCCTGTGAATGGTTTCTCGTTGGAGTAGTCAGACCGAAACACTACCATGAGGTTGTTGTCCACAGAGGTGTAGGTCTTGTTGCCCGGAGCCTCCTCGGTGTCTGTACTATCCTTTCCACACAGTGTAGCCAAGGTCCTCCCACCAGAGCTCAGCTGCAAAACGGGCAGACAAATCCACCAGATGAGCACAGAGCTTCTCTCCTCTCAGCCTGCTGTGAGCTGTTTCCAGTGGCTTGGAAACCATCTGTTTAATGGTGTGAGAATAGAGGCCTGGACCTCACAAAAGGTGCTTCTGGAGGGCAGTCCAGATCCAGGGACAGACAAAAGATTTCCCCTGTTCCCTGTGACTTAAGCCCATAATTTTGCCTCCCTTTTTCTTTTCAGAGCCCCACATAAAGCTGTGACACCAGCCTGGGCTGTCAGCACCATGCTTTGTTTATAATGCTTCTGTTAACTGGGTACTCTCAGTGACAACCAGACCTTGGTAAAGCCAGAGACAACTGGGGTAAACATGTCTCACACACTGACAAACTCAAACATACAGTAGAAGGTCTCTATAAACTAATGGCTCACTTGCTCTACGATTCACTTATTACAGTTCCAGCTCTTCATTTAGCTTGTGTTTTTAACACAAGAGAAATGTTCTGATACATGAGGTTCATGTTGGACATGGTGGTGATAGAACCGTGTACTACAGACCTACCAGAAAGGAGTACTCTGTCCTGCCCAGAGGAAACCACATGGAGAACAACACGGATTTGGGGAATGGGAGCAGCCTGCCATGGAAATGAGATCTTCCTCAATGGGAACAAGACTGCCTGATTTGTTTCCACTAGATGGAAAGTCCTGCTGATGCACTGGCTCTGGACACTCCCTGTGCACACAGCTCCCCCTGTAACGTGCATCAGGCCCAGGCAAGTAACGAAAGGAGTGCAGAGGCAGCACAGCCTCAAAGCAGCAGCATCAGGGCTGCCCAGATGACAGCACGTTCTGGCACAGGGAGTACAGACCTCTCAGAGACCCCGTTCACCACCCAAACACCTCCCACAGACAGTATCTTGTTTCTTCTCCTGAGGTGGTTTCTCACATTAGCTAGCAACCAGCATCACAAGTGCTGCAAGTGCACACTCAGAGAAGCTGATGGGATCTCGTTAGAGGATCACTCACACTTCCACAGCCTCCCCTCATGCTCTCTGCAAAGCTCTGCATGTTAATTTAAAACACACACTGGAACTTCAGCAAAATGAAGCTCAAATGTTGTTTTGGGCAAAATTTCAACCTTTTTGTTTCACGAGAAGGGAACATTGGAGTTTTCTGAGCACAAACAATTGAACTTTCAGACGTTCCAACATGACAGCAAGTTCTACTTCTGGTCCCGTGGGCCTCAATAAACACATTGCTTAGAAATCAGCTGAGCCTGAACTTTGTTAGCAGACTAAAACCCAGTGCTTACGAGTTACCTTGGTCCTGCCCGTGACCAGGATCACATACACAGTTTTCAACAGCTTAGCCTGCTACACCTCACCCTGCCCTACACATACCTTCACATAATCATATTCACAGAGGTAGGACAGCTCCAGGTTGAAATGGGTGAAGTAGATGCGGACAGAGTATCCCTTGGGCACAGTAATATTCCAGATTCTCTCCTTGTGATTTGGGTAGACATTGGGAAAGTTGGGGGACGTGATCCTCCCATACATTTTCTGCAGCACAATGCTGCTGCTCACTCCACTGTAAAGTGTAGCTAGCAAGACAAACAGCCTGTGTCAAAGGAACAGAGAGGAACAGAGGAAGAATGAGCATCAGCTCGGGTCACACCCCAAAAGCCACACGTCCAAGGTGCCAATCTCAAGACCAAACCAGTTATCTCAGCACTAGCTGAAATCCTCACACCCAACACCCTTCTGACTTGACAAGGGTAGAAATGAAGAGCTACCAGTGCAGTCATACTGTAGTAACAGCTAAACAAGATGAGCATCACACCCGTGCCTTCTAAGGCCTGCAGAAAGCCAGGTGGCAGGAGGAGCTGCAGGAATCCCTGCAGAGCTGCACTCACCTCATCGTGGTGCTCTCCTGCCTGAGCCTGTCTGCTGGGAGCCCTGGGGAAGGAATCTCACCCGATGTATTTGCATTTGGGGGCGGGTGTATTTATTGTGTGCGCTCTGCGGTGCTCCTAGGGATGTTGAACTCTGATGTTTATCTCCCTTCCACCCCCTTCAGCCTGCTGAGTTCTGGGAACAGCAATTACTCAAAACCAGGCTTGTGTTTGGCACATGAGGCCCCAGCCAGTGACAGGGAGAGGCAGAGCTGGAGCTGGGGGCAGGAGTGCTGCAGGCTCCTGGAGGGAGCTGCAGTGTGTGTTGTGGCAGCTCTGCGGGACAGCAGGCAGTGGGAGGAGGCACAGAGCAGCGCGGGGAGCTGGGCAGTGCTCTCCCCCTCTACCCAGCCCATCTGCAGTTATCCCTACTGCCAGCAGTGTGTTCCTGAAGCAGTTTCTCCTGTTGTCAGAGTGGGAAGGTGTTGAAAACAAAATAATGGGGCACATTACAGGATTTGAGAATAGTGAGTGAGTCTGGTTAGGCAGTTCTGTGTCATGGGACAGGACTGCTCAGGGTGGCACAACACCACAGGGTAGAGAGGTGGGTGCCAAAGTCTTCCAGTTCTCAGCTGCACCTTTTAATCCAGTGCAACCAGTGCAAGGTTGTGCTGACTGCAGCCTGCTCCGTGCCTTGTGCACACACAAGGATGGCTTTTTATCCTGCCCATCCTGGAACACACATAGGTTAAAAAGGCATACTTAACAAACTATGTCTTTTGAACGTGGCTTTCTGCAGGAATGAGACAACAATGCTCTGTGCTCACATCTGTCTGTGGCCTAGCTTACCAGCTTCAAAATCCCAACAGTCCATTTCCATAAAACCTGGCAGAAGAGAAGCAGTCTCAGAGGTACCAGTGCAAGGGAGACAAGTGGACAGATTGGAAAAAAAAAATATTCTAATTCCTGGGAATTCTCTGAGGAAAAAAAATGAAAAATGAACTCAAATTTATTTTAAACATTTCTGGATCCACACAGGGATTACACATCACTACAGGACTCCAGGGAATTCAACAGTGAGAGCCAACACTATAGGACATGAAGCTTTATTAAATCTACTGCTTGCAGACTGCTTCTTTCCCAGGTCTGCATCTGAGTTTCCCACAAAACTCCTATTCCAGCACGTACAGAGACAGGCCTAAATTTATAGCAGGTAAAAAGACAGATATTTTAATGCCAAACTTAGGTCTCACCTCTTCCCTGACAAAAATGGACAGAGAGCTGGAAAACTGATTTGCAGGAGGGAACAGTGGACTGCATTGCACAGGCAGGAAATTTATACCGAGATATCCTGTAATTAAACAGACACCTTTTGATACTCATTTTTGAACAGCCAAAAAATCATTACCCCAGGCTGTGAGGCTGGTGCTGGCAGGAGAGCAAGAATTATTACATGAACAAAACTAAAGCCAACAAACCATTTAGCAGACTGCAAACAGAAAACACCATTTAATAGACGTGAAGGAGAAACCAGTAGCAGCAATAATTAACTGCAGCAGCAGTACCTCCAGGCATGGCTAACAGACAAGAACCCAGAGGGGACCAGCTTTTCCCATGGCCCAGCAGCTGCTAAAATGATCCTATCAACACTTGCAAGATGTGGACTTTATACTGGCTGCCAGCGAGGGAAGAGAAAGAAAATTTTGCAAAAAAAATCAATCCATGCCTAACTGAGCTGGTGCCTGATTCCCACAGACACACAAACTTCCTGGAGTGTCCCACATGAGGCTCCTGCTCAGTTCAGCAGCAGAGGAGCAGAGTCAATTCTGATCCTAGGTCTGAAAAGTTTCACACAGCCCCAGAACTGGGTGAGGCTCCTGGAGCTGACGGTTGCCACCCAGCACTTAGAAAGCTGACTTCATAAATTGTAATCCCAGAGGCTGAGACACTGAATGCCTGCTGCATGCTGGCTTTCCTCTGGCATGGTCTGTGGAGATTGAAGACTGCTGTGGTTTTAGTCCTTAGCACCTGATGTGAACATCACCAAAAATGTCCTTATTTCTTTGCCCAGAAACCTTCCACTCCAAAAGGCTGCTGGGCACCAGCTACCCAGGTGCAGCAGCAGGGTGAGAGCACTGTGGTAGCTCACCCCAGGGCCACAGATGCTCCTGCTGCCCACAACTTCCCTTTTGCCTCCACAGGACCAAGCCAGCCTGCAGGCTGAGTGGACTCCATCCATGTCACTGGCATTTCCAGTGCTCTGTAATTGCCAAGCTACTGACCCAGTTTAGGGAGCCAGGGTGATGTCTGAAATGACAGATGCCTCCTGAGAAGTCTGCCCAGTTGTCTGCTTGTGCCCCTGTCTCCTTCCATGCTCGAGGGCTGAGGCAGACAAAGGCCAGCTGCCATGTGGGGAGAACCACCAACATGTGTGAAGACCAAGGCTCAGAGAAAGGACTTCCCCTTGACAAAAACCTAAACAACCCTCTGTGTAATGGAGGACTATGGAAGGACACAGAGATACTGCAGAGACCTCTTATGAGCTATCTTCTCCCCCAGATCCTGTATGGCTTCTCAAAGTATGCTTTTACTACTCAACACTGAGATTTGTCAGGGAAAGTTTTCAAACCCCTCCTGTGGCAACAGCAAGTGCAGACAGCTAAGCCAGACACAGTGAATAAATCAGCAAGAACAGAGCTGCTCAGCCAGCACAGTGCCCCTCAGGCTGGTACCACTAGGATCCAGAGACCTGATCTCCACTTCTTCTGCAAAACCAGACAGCAGCAAATGTGAGGAGGCTGGAAGCCAGCCGTGTAGCTAAGGCCTTCACTGAAGTTGTGGGAGATCCAGGCTAAGTCTTGGCAGAGCTCTTCAGTTCATACTTCCCTCTGACCCTCAAGTTTTGAAACTGCAAAAACATTACCTGAGGCAAATTCTGCCACAGCTATGTACCTTGTTCCTGCAGAAAGAGCTTCAGCTGTGATGAACTCTGAGATCCTGTAAAAATGAAGTCAATACAGCCCCACTCATTCCACTTAATCAAGTCCCAGACAGCTCTATTCTCAAACAGACCATGCAAAACCACACACTGCCTCAGAAAATCACCTTGTGTTGAAGGAGAAAATCTCTGGGACTTTGAGAAGCAGCTCCTGACAGTGATTCCATGAAAAGTACTGCAGTGACTGATCAGTCAGGACCAGATGCTTCAGGTGGAATAAACAGGACAGTGAGCATCTGAACGTGCCTCCAGATCCAAAACACAGGCACAGGGCCAAAGCAAGGGGCAGGTGAGTGAAGGAAGGAGAAGCACACGTGGGCCTTCCTGGCTTCTAAGATGAGGCAGTGCAGTCATCTGCCACAGCAGTGGCTACCCTCACATCAGGAGCCAGGGGAGCAAAGAGTGCACTAGCTGCTTGCTGTGGTCCCTGAGGACACTGCTCCTCGTGCCCCCGGGTTCCCAAACGCCAGCTGCCTCTGCAGGGCCCTAGGAGATCACTGGGGTGTTTGCTGTTCCGTGCCTAAATCCAGTCCTGCTCTGAGGGCTTCAGAGGGCCTGGGGGAGCACGTGCAGCACAGGAAGAGACGTTCTGTCTCCTCATCACAAATCAGATAGCGTGACTGACATCAGAAGACAGGCACACAGACAGAGCAAGCAGACCATGGAGTGGGGCAGGGGAAGAGCCTGGCTGCTGTGAAACAGGAAAAAAAAAACAATCTTGCCAGGGGAAAAATTTCAGGCAGAGAAAGCTCATGCAATGGGGCAAGACACTGTTGTCACTCAGGGCATGCTCTCCTCCTTCCCACGCTGTCTGCTGCTACCTCATTGTTTTATGTTCTGTTTGCAAAGATGAACTCCAGCTGCTATGGAGTGCTAAGGCCCATTTCTCCAGCAGAAAAAAGACTGGACTTGTCCTTGTTCCCCTGTACTAAGTGAATTCCAAAGGACAGCCAGTGCAATTCCACAGAGTCATCTCATCTGAAAGCACTCGGATCTGAGCTCAAATTGTCTAGAAGTTCCAAAGGCCCCTCTGAGGTAAAGGTACTGGTTGACAGCTTTGCTCCTCTGGCAAGACCAGAGCTCTCAAAACCAAGAGTGACTGTCATCTGTGTGGGGCTGGTCTGAGGCTGTGAAACATGACCTCTCCAGGAGCACGTGTCCCTGAACACGTGTGTCTGTGTGTGCACATGCAGATGTCAGAGCGTGCACACGCCATTTACACGTTATGTATGTGCACACTCCCCAAGTGTGTAAGTAGCTGTGTGACTTCTGGTCAGCTGCACAGCTGCAGAGTCCAACAGCACGAAAGCTTCGTGTATGCCAGCCCACGTCAGCCTCTGCATGGATGGATGGGCACGTGTTTACACACACCACCACAAATCCCAGGGGAAGCCCCTGCCCTGCACCCACCCAGCCCCCAGGGAGGGAGTGTGACAGCACAAGAGCAAGAGGTGCTGGTCACGTTACCCTGCCTTCTCCTGGAAAAACCTCCCCCTGTGCCACGGGGAAGGCAGCGTGAGAGCCGTGTAGGTCAGGCTCTCTTTCCCCTTGCCTGCAGCCACGGTGCCGTTAGCCTGGCTCCCACTGCTGAAGCAGCTCACAGAGCTCCCGCCTCCCTCCCGCCCACACCCTTGGTAGCTGCAGCGTGTCTGCTGGGCGGGCTCCAGCCCCTGACTTCATCCCAGCAGCTGTTTGTGCTGGGAAGAGAATTCGGTTCCAACTCAGCTACAGCTAGAGCCAAAGCTATGAAAGATGCTATGCATGTTACAGGCACAGCCAACACGCTCTCCTTGGGCAAGTCTGCCTCCAAAGAGCAGAGAGGAACAAAGGGGGTGGGTGAATAACACACGTCTGACATGTATCTCTTGTCCAACAGCAAGTCTGAAAGCAGGGAGGGCAGAGTGTGGGCAACAACAAAGAAACCCAAGAAAAGTATGACAGATCTCTGTACAAGAGGACAAAAAGACCAACCAAGGATGAGCCCATGAGGAACTCCCTATTGTGGACAGAGAGAGGCTCATCATAAGCCTCCCCCAAACCTATCACAGCCTCATTCAGCGAGCAGCTTGGCCCTGTGAAGCAGTCAGGAGACTCTTCAG